AGAAAGAAAGAAAGAAAGAAAGAAAGAAAGAAAGAAAGAAAGAAAGAAAGAAAGAAAGAAAGAAAGAAAGAAAGAAAGAAAGGAAAGAAGGAAGGAAGGAAGGAAGGAAGGAAGGAAGGAAGGAAGGAAAAAATGCTGAGAGAAGCTACTCAGGAGGCTGAGATCTGAGTATCTCAGTTCAAAGCCAGCCTGGGTAGGAAATTCCATGAAACTCTTATCTCCAATAAATTACTCAGAAAATGCCAGAAGTGATGCTGTGGCTCAATGGTAGAGCACTAACCGTGAACACAAAGAGGCTCAGGAACAGTGCCCAGGCCCTGAGTTCAAGCCCCTGGACCAGAAAAAAAAAAATCTGAGAAAGAGCAAAAGGCCTGGTATACACACACACATACAAAACAAATCCAAACAAAAAGAACTCCACAAAACTAAGTTAAAGTAGCTCTTAAACTTAACACTTCAAACAGGATAGTCAGAGGAAGGTACATATTGGTATAGAAACCTAGAAAGAAGGGTTCATACTAGGAATTAAAAGAAAAAGACTACTGTTGCTGTTTCATACCTGTAGTTTCTTGAACACATTGAGGGTTCAAGGCTGGCTCCCCTTCAATTTTCATGAGGTCACAAGCAACTTTTTGGAGCTTTTCTACAGGTACTTGGTGCTCAGCCAGTTCCTCCTGTAACTGCTGCTTGTACACACACAGACAGACAGACAGACAGACAGACAGACAGACACACACACACACACACACACACACACACACACACACAAAGACAAAATAACCAAAGGTAATTGCAGGAATCTAGAATATAATTCTCAGTTTACCCAGGGCCAGAGACATTAGAATAGTGTTTAGGAATCAGATCTTGCCCCAAACATCCCCAAACAGCCTTTAATTTTGCAAGTATTTGATTTGGCTGGGGGTGGGGGTGGGGGGCTGTATTCTAAGCCATGTAATACAAGCTCAAACACTGCCCATGTTCAGATTTACCTTTGTTGTTGTAAGTTGCTGCTGCAGAATTCCAGGGTCAGAGGCAATGGTATCTGAAAGAAGCTGATCTACTTTGGCCTTACAAGTCTGTATCCAGGCTTGCAATATGTCAGCACTGCTCTGGAATTGCTGATACTGACCTAATAGCATGTTCAGGTGAGAGCCCAATCGTGTACACTATGCAAATAGAGAAAGGGAAACACATCTGGTAAGGTCAGGCCAAAGAGTACTGTTCTGTTACAGAGAACTCACTGTAACATTACATAAAGGTACTGTGCTTGGGACCCTGGACAGATAGGTGGCAATTACCTACAAAAAGGCCCCCTTTTGTTCCTTATTACTCATCTTTCCTTGGTAAATACCCAGAAATACTTAAAAGAGTTGCATGATATGCTGCCAAAGAAGTATATATCAGGTTGTAGGCAAAGGTAAAGATTGAGGGATCTCTTTGAAAGGATTACAGATGTTGGGAAATTTGCTAGATTCCTAAACTGCTTGGATTAGGAGAAAATAAGGGTTCCTTCCAGAGTTTCTGTCAAGAACTAAGGACTGCAGTTAGCTTAGATTTACTTGTGTTGCATCTCTTGGATGCTGGTTAAGATACAGGAAGGTGAGCAACTTATACATCTGTGATCAGACATAAGATCATGGGACTATAGAATGTATAGAATGCATTTTTTTTTGCATAGTTCTTCAAAAACCTTCTACCTGTGGTCAACATATAGCTCATACACTTTGTCCTGTCTGGGGTTCATTTTCTGGGTCTCACCACAGTTGTATGAGGGCTGCCACGATCACTTTCCCAGTGCCTTCTAGGATCTACCCTTACCTTTGAGTGGAGAGCAGTGTATCTTTCTGTTGCATCCTTCAACTTCTCTTTTACTAAGTTTCTGGTTGTGGATGGCTCTTTGCTTTCTTCAAAGTTGTTTTCTGTGTCCAGGACTTTCTGTCCTGAGATAGTCACAAATCTCAAGTCCCCTTTGTGAGAAATGACATCTTCTGAGAAGCTTCCCTGACGCTTTAGCAGAGAGGGTAGGGCTTCAGGGCCATTGACTCCTTTATGCATATTTTCTAGCTCTTTCTCAGACCGTTCCAGCCAGCTTTCAAATTCAGTGTAGTCCTGTAGGAACTTCTGCAGCTCATCTCGGAGAGTCTGTACCTGCTTTAATTCCACCTCAGACTGGGCCAGGGAAGATGCATATTGTTCCTTAAGCTCTCCTAGCTTCTCTTGCAGCATTTGCCGCTCCTCAGGAGTGAGATTGTGGCCCTGCTGGTCTAGGAAGGCCTGAGCTGACTGGGTGGCCACAATGAAATTTTGTTGTTGGGACAGCAATTCTTGGTGACGAGCCTGGTGAGTAACCCCCCCACAAAAAAAGGGACAACCAATAAGAAAACAAATATTTTCCAGGTGGAGTGGTCTCTATCTCTACTTCAACCCTTATTGTCAATGGGGAAATACATATCACAGCCAGATACCCTCATAACCTTTATCTCTATGCTACTGCAGGCAGACAATACCCATATTAAAAATGGCATACATGAATATGAAAATGAGGTTATATGTCCTAACTAAAGTCATGAAGATAGTTAAGGTTAAGAAATGTGATTTAAACCAACTAGTAACTATGTCTACATCTACAAGAATCTATAATAGCCAACTAAAATCTTCTACAATAATAGAGTAACCGGTAAGTTGTCTATATGACAATGCAAACAGAACAAATATTCTGGATAATATAGGCACTTTGTATGTTTATCTATAAGACAAAGACCTTTTCTCTGTTGCAAAGGATAGTCATGTGATTGTTTTCTTCTTAAATATGTTCTACCTAAGTCTAATAAAAGACAGTGGAAGTTCATTCAGTGGTCTTATTTATACTTTTATGCAACTACCAGAGAAGAACTACAAATCTACTTTCCTTCAGTTAGTTTCAGCATGTACCAATAGCCTAGTCTAAACTTTTTTTTTTTTTTTTTTGGGTCCAGTCATGGGGCCAGAACTCTGGGCCTGGGCGCTGTCCCTTAGCCTTCAGCTCAAGGCTAGCACTCTACCACTTGAGCCACAGCGCCACTTCTGGCTTTTTTCTTTTTGCTTATGTGGTGCTGAGGAATCGAACCCAGGGCCTTGAGCATGCAAGGCAAGTGCTCTACCACTGAGCCACCTTCCCAGCCCTAGTCTAAAGTTTTTATGTCATCTTAGGAAAGCTACAGTAACTAACAGATCCTGTTCAAATAGCCAGTAGGGAGCAGTACCACATCTTTGCCTGTAGGTGATCAGGTGTCCCCAATCTCATCCTCCAACCTACCCACTGACATTAAGGCAGTACCCTTCCTGAGATAAAATGCTGCTTGCTTAGGGTGAGTGCAGCTAGCAAGAAGAATCAGGAAACTCTCTGCACTGACTGTTTCAAGACTACTAGGCCTCTAGACCTAATAGTGGATCTTGTAAGGAGAAAAGTGGCATGCAAGGGGCTGAAATCCTATTAGTACAAAATAAAGCAATGCCCGAATAGGTTGTTCAACACTATTTCTGATAAGCTAAATCATCTTTGTTACAAAGGCACCACTACTAAAATATGTGATCCATATGTTTTACAGGTGTTCGAAATATATTTTTTGATTATTCAATATAAAGTGCTTGTGCAAATTAATGTCCTAGATGATTTGTTTTATTGGTTCTCTGGTTTATTTCCAATGTCTGACATATAGTAGATACTTAGTATTTGCTGAATGAATAAGTAGAGATAACTGGTGAGCAAGAATGGCTTCTGTGGCTCAGTGGTAGAGTGCTTGCCTTGCGAACATGAAGCCCTGGGTTCGATTCCTCAGTACCACATAAGCAGAAAAAGCTGGAAGTGGCGCTGTGGCTCAAATGGTACAGTGCTAGCCAGGAGCTGAAGAGCTTAGGGACAGCACTCAGGCCCAGAGTTCAGGCCCCATGACCAAAAAAAGAAAAGAAAAGAAAAAAAAAAGAATGGCTTCTGCTTTTGAGTCCACTGTCTAAAAGCCAAGTGGACAAAAATACAAGACAAAATAAGAACCACTACATATCACAGAGGGATATGTTAACTTTGGGGGAGTAAAGAACTCCTTCCTAGAAGAAATAAAATCTAAACTGAGATCTGAAGAATAAGTAAAAATTAACCAAGATCTGGGCTGTTTTTCATTTCTTACACTGGAGAGGCAAGAAAATTCCAAGAGCATGCACAAGCCCAGTAGAATGAGGGTACACAGTACAATCAGTGAACTGAAAGGGATTAATAGCTAGACTTGGGTGAAGCAATGAGGCCAGATAAGGAAGAGTAAATCCTGTGGACGGGTAGTTGTAGGGATGGTAAACCATACTAAAAACTTTGGACTGATATTGGTGATAGAAGTAATGGTCTGAACTACAATATCTCTATGGAGATGAAGCAGTGGGTATGATTTTGAAAGAGATATAAAAAGCACTGGACTTGATGACTAAACTTTCAAATCCCTCACATGAGAGTAAGAGAGAGGGCTGGGAAGGTAGCTTAGTGGTAGAGTGCTTGCCTCGCATCATGTGGCCCTGGGTTCAATTCCTCAGCACCACAAACACAGAAAAAGCCAGAAGTGGCGCTGTGGCTCAAGTGTAGAGTGCTCACCTTGAGCTGAAGAGCTCAGAGGCAATGCCCAGGCCCAGAGTTCAAGCTCCACGACCGACAAAGAGAAAGAGAGAGAGAGAGAGAGAGAGAGAGAGAGAGAAGGAGAGGGAGAGAGAGAGGGACAGAGAGAGAGAGAGAAAGGGAGATAGAATAGTTTAGGATATTATTAAATTCAGACAACTAAGTAGATATAAAGGAAGCAGAACATCTTTCAGAGCAGGGATAGGAGGTATTGGTGTATATTATGGGAGTTCTGTGTTAAGGTGGACGTACTTGTGGTTCTAGGTTGGAAATGATCAGATTGACTTATATACTGGTTTGAAGCTTAGAAGTGACAATAGAGCCACTTTTAAGAAAAATAAATAGAAGGAATATGTTAGTACAACTAGCAATTAAAATGTTTTAGGTGGATAAAGCAACCCAAAGAAAGAATATTCTAAAAGATAAGAGGAAGACTTAAGGTATACTTGGAAGTGTAATAGTATTTAAAGTTGTCAGAAGAAGGAAGGAAGATAAAGTAGTGCTGTAGAAACCAAGGAAGAAAGTAGTTTAAAAGGAATGGTCTACAGTATCAAAGCTACTAAGGCATATCAAAGACAATACAAACTGAGAAGTGCTCACTGAACTGGGGGCAAGAAGCTGTGGTAACTTGCCCTGGGCAGAAGAGATTCTTCCAGCTCAGTGAGGACAAGCTAGAATCCTCACCTTCATTGTCTCACATTGTTTATCCAGTTTCTCTGGGGCTTGGTTCATCCCCATGTAACTATCAGTGGTATCCAAGGCTCTTTTCTCCAGTTTAGCTCCAGAGAGCTGCTCTATTCCTGGAAGTCTGGTCTGTAGCTGTTCACCAGATGATTCCATGGAAGTCACCCAATCCAAGAGAGCATCAATCTTACTCTTGTTCTCTGCCAGCTCCTTTGCTGCTTTACTCTGAAAGCAAGAGGTAGTCCAGTGAGAAAGCCTTAGATACTCAAATATAAAACCACAGGTTACAATTTCTGCAGGGTCCTTCAAAGAAAACTAAATAAAGTTTTTTTTTATGGAAAAAAAATGCTGGCAGTGTGGCTCAAATGGTAGAGTGCTTACCAAGCAAGCAGGAAGTTCTGAATTCAACACCTAGGGCCACCAAAAAAGATTTTTTTTCTCCAAATTTATACTAAAAATTACTTTCTAAACGTTTTTGCTGAGCACCAGCAAAATATATAATCTAGCTACTCAGGAGGCTGATATCTAAGGATCGTGGTTCAAAGCCAGCCCAGACAATCAGATTATGAAAGATTCTTATTTCCAATTAAATCAGAAAAAAGCTAGAAGTAGAGGTACAACTCAAATGGTGGAGCATCAGCTATGTGAAAAAAGTTGGACCAGAGAAGGGCCTGGTGTGTGCACTAGCACACACACAAATATAAACATATATATATATATATATATATATATATATACACACATATATATATATACACATATATATATGTATGTATGTATGTATATATATGTATATATATACATATGAAATAAATACAAACCACAGGTTAAGCAAAGCATTGGGTCATACTAAAGAAAAAGTGATGCTCTAATTTTAGTTATAAACAGTCTTTCCAAATAACAAAAATAATTTTTTAAAAGAACTATTATCTATTATTAATTTCTTTGAACAATCTCTAGAGTTTATTTATAGTTCACTGTTTACAAGGAGAAAAAAAAGACAAATCTCAGTTTTTAAAGCAATCAATGGTCCTGCTGCCCAACAAGATTTCACAGAATTCTTTCTAGCTGTATAAAAGTGACACATTGGTTTGGTAGACTCAGAACATGGTCACATTCAATTATCTGGCTACTATTTGGAAAAGCAGACCTCTAGTTCTTATCTCAGCCGAACAAAACAGTTCTTAAACTTCCAAGTATGTTAATTAATTGAATAGGATATATCAAATTATACATCATCTTATGTTGCAGAACTCATCTTTAGGCAACTTAGTTCTCTCTTTCATCTTCTCTGACACTCTCATTACCATCAGACCCCAAGATTGAACAAAGGATTTGATTCAATCTGCTAGTGCTGAATGGGGGCAGAAAATCATTCAAGACTTGACTTTCTCTTTGGTTTCTCTAGGTGCCATGATTTACTTCATTAACTATATCAAGGCTGCCTGGAAATAGTCTGTGACCTATCACTAGTCTGGATTCAAGAGAGAAGTATACCATTTCTTTTTCCTCCTAGGGTAATACCCTACCTAAGTTCTTTCAAGTAGTTAAGTTCTGAGTGTACAGATAGCTTTTTATTTTATTGTATTTTTTATTTTTTTGCCAACCCTCAGCCTTGTAAAATGTACTTCTTAGCAACTATTCCTCACCTGAAGTCATTCTGGGTATTTCTTATAAAAGCAAAGGTTGCTCTTGAATCAGTTATTTTTTTTCCCTCATTCTATGCTTTCTATAAGGAAGTTTCCCCTTATTTTTGTGTAACTGAAGTTTTCATTTAGTAAACCACCAAGTATCATAGCCATTTGGTTACCTTTTCAGTCTCCTGCTGTAAAGCTGAGCTCACTGCTTCCTGCACTTCCTTTTGAGCCATTTGGGTTCGTTCCTGGAGAGCTTTATATTGCTCCTTAGCCTGATGAAGTTTTTCTTGAAGAGCTGTCAGCTCTGAGGGACTCAGTTTGGTTTGGTTTTCTTCTAGGAATCCTTCAATATCTTTGACAACAGTAGTAAATGAGGTGGCACGGTTCTGAATGTTGTCCTGTAAATCCTGAACACAAGAAAACAAGTTTAACAGTTCTTAGTATTTCCACATCCTCGAATACTATAGGATGGAATGGCTAGGATGACATTTCTGTATTTAGTTCTTGACTTATAATTTACCTAAGTTTTACCTCTAAACTAGCGCAATGAAAAATTTAAAATATTTTACTTTCTCAGCAAATACTTGGTGGGAAAAAAAGGAAACTTCCCATAATCTAGCTACTCAGGAGGTTGATATCTAAGGATCATGGTTCAAAGCCAGCTCAGACAATCAGATTATAAAAGGCTCTTATTTCCAATTAAATCAGAAAAAAGCTGGAAGTGGAGGTATGACTCCAGTGGTGGCGTATCACCTATGTGAAATAAGTTGAACCAGAGTGAGGAATATATATTGATATACTGAATAGTGGAGATTTTTATTCAGCAGCAAATTACCTGCTAAGAGGTTATTCTTTCCATAAAGAGGAATTGACAGCACGTTCTAGCAAAGTCAAAGCCCATTGGTCTTTTATATAGTAGTCCACAGGCTACTGCTCTACCACTTTGAGCCACAGACCATTTCCCATTTTTGGGTAGTTAATCAGAGATAAGAATCCCAAGGACTTCTGTTTCCCCAGGCTGGCTTCAAACTGCGATCCTCAGATCTCACCCTCATGAGAAGCTAGGAAGATTACAGGCAAGAGCTACCAGTGCCTAGCCCCAGTTTTTTGTGTTTTTTTTGGTTGGTTGTGAGGCCTGAACTCTGGGCCTATGTGCTCTTCCTCAGCTCTTTAGCTCAAGGCTAGCACTCTACTACTTGAGCCACAGTGCCACTTGCGGCTTTTTCTGCTTATATGTTGCTGAGAGAATCAAACCCGGGGCCTCATGCATGCAAGGTAAGCACTCTACCACTGAGTCACCTTCCCAGCCCCATGGTTTTGTTTTTTGAGGTTTGTTTGTCATCATCAATCGTAGTCCAAAAACATTAAACAGAAAATTCCAGAGATAAACAATTCCTAAAGTTTAAAATTATGCATGATTCCAAAAAACATTGTTCAGCTGGGACCATGAATCATTAGTTTGTTCACAATATCCATGCTGTATATACTACCAATCAGTCACTTCCTGGATGCCCAAATTATCAGACCATCTATTGTATCATAGTGCTTGTACTCGAGGAATCCTTATTTCACATAATGTCCCTAAAGCACAAGCATATTGATACTCTTTATTATTCTAGTTATTATGTTGTATTTTATTATTAGTTATGGTTATCTATCTCTTACTATGTCCAATTTATAAACTAAACTTTATCATAGGTGTGTATGTACTGGGAAAACATAGTATATAGGGTTTGCTACTATATGCTCCAGGCATCCATCTATCTACCCTTTCCTCTGTACTCTTTTGGTTATTTTTTTCCTTAACGTGGCCTACAACAAGCAGTATGAGAAAAGCTTTTCCCCATCTCTCCAGCTTCACTTTTTTGTTAATCTTTCTCTTACTCTTTGTGGTCCAACTGAATTAGCTTAGTTCTTGAATATATTATGCTCAATCCTATCCCAGCCTCCAAACTCATGCATAAACCTCTGCCTCGTATGGTTTTTTCCTCTTACCACATCATGCACTAACCCCTATAAAAGCATATCGTTCACTTCTCAATTTAAGTGATTCTTTTTTTTTTTTGGTTGGTCATGGGGCTTGAATTCTGGGCTTGGGCGCTGTCCCTGAGCTCTCCAGCTCAAGGCAAGTGCTCTATCACTTGAGCCACAGCACTACTTCTGGTTTATTGGAGATAAGAGTCTCACAGACTTTCCTGCCCAAGCTGGCTTTGAACCATGATCCTCAGATCTCAGCTTCCTGAGCAGCTAGGATTACAGGTGTGAGCCATTGGTGCCTGGCTTAAGTGATACTTCAAGTAACCTTTTCTGATACCCTAGACTAGACTGTCTCTGGTCTATGTTTTCATATGACTTTACATTTAAAGATGTAATGGCTAATAATTAGATGCTTGTTCTAGAGCTAATCTGTCTGTCTTCCCTACCAAACTAAACTTCATGAGGGAAGGGGTAATAACTGTTTTTCATGATTTGGACATTAAGCACTGGTATACAGAAAGCCTTTATAAACATGTTTTGAAGAATGAAGAACTAGTTTAACTCATACTGACCTTCAAGTCACTTTGGTTCTTCTGCAAAGCAGAGAGATCCTGTGGGGAGGCTCTGCCCCGGTGGCTCACCAGTGCTTTTTCTGCCTGTCCTACCCAGCTGCAAAGGTCCTCCAGTTTCTGATGACAGGTATTTTGTTGTTTCTGCAGAGTCTAATTAAAATGCAAAGGAATCAAAAGACAATTAATAACTCTCATTTTACAAATATGTGTAATTCCCTGAAATGTAAAACAGGATTTTGTGTCAAAGAGAAAAAAGCAATGGAAAACTAGAAGAGGAAAAGGCACAGAAATCATATTCAGGAAGCTCCCCTTATTTGGGCAGTCTGGCCATTTAGCTCTGTGGTTGGGATGATATCAGGGTAACTTTTGGGGATGGAGTGCCCCTGGCTAGATTTGAATTTGGGAGCTCTTTTGTCAGATGTCCATTACTACCTTTGGAATCTAATACTATCTTTGATCATGGTGATAAACATCAGAATCAGCCATTCTGACAAATTTCTCTAGAACTAAAGAATTTGCTAAATACTAAGCCAAAACATGAAAAGGTAGTAGGAGAAAAAAAATCAAGGCCTTGGATAATTTATAAGCTAAGTTTATCAATAATTTGAACTGATTTTATGTACCAAATGTCCCACTACAGAGAGGTATTAGCGTGATTACACACCAGACACATAGCTTGGTTTGGCTATTTGGAGAAACTGCCCAAGAATAGAAACTTGGTTTAGCTTCTTGAATATCTACACTGTTATCACAGGAAAAGTTAGGCTTATGGAGAGAGAGGGAATATGTTTCTGTGCCTGATCCTTTCCCCAGATCTCATACGGCTGAAGCACCTAATTGAGCAATTAAGCATGATGTGTTCTCCTGACCATCCTTCTAAAACCACTTTCTACCAGTTAGTGCTTTCTGATGGCATTTTAGTCACCTGCACTTACAAACAGGTGCTCACATTGGCCCTCTCTCCCCCTTTTTAGGACAAATAGAAGGGCACTTGAAGAGAACTCCTAAGAGTTCTTCAGCTGTAAAACAGGATCTTCATGGGTTAGGATAGGTGCAGACTGAATCTGAAAAAAGCAAAGCAAACAAGTTATCACATAGACATACACACACATTCAGAGCAAATAGAGAGAAACAGAGTATTTCTGACAACAAGGTTAATAAACATTTGTGGAATTACTATTGTACTCATGGAAAATGGTAACATACAGTTCTATCATCTGCTGAAAACTCAGGGACCTACCCTGGATCTAGGCTGGGTCTTAAGGTGGTTCAGACCAATCTACTTCATTCGTTACCCACAGGCTATCCCATGCTATTTAAATTACTAAGTAAGGGAAACTGGGCTCGGTGATGCCTGCTTATAATCTTAGCACTTGGAAGGGGATTAGTGAGTTTGAGGCTAGGTTTGGTTACATAGCAAGACACTGTCTCAAGTAGAAAATTACTAAGTGAGGATATTGCACATGTTCAATGGTGCAATTAAAAGGTAATCTAAACCATTTCATTAAGATTTGACTTTGTGGGCTGGGAAGGTGGCTCGGTGGTAGAGTGCTTGCCTTGTATGCATAAGGCCCTGGGTTCAATTCCTCAGCACCACATAAGCAGAAAAAGCCAGAAGTGGCTCTGTGGCTGGAGTGGTAGAGTGCTAGCCTTGAGCTGAAGAGCTGAGGGACACTGCCCAGGCCCAGAGTTCAGGCCCCAAGACCGGAAAAAAAAAGAAAAGATTTGATTTTGCTTAAACCACATTTGAAACTATAAATAAGCAGTAATGGGACTTATGGCCCTGAGTAATCTTTCTTTCCTTTTTCCTTCCTCCCCACCCCCCGCCCCCCCATCCTGGGGCTTGAACTCTAGACCTGAGCACTGTCTCTTAGCTTCTGGGCTCAAGGCTAGCGTTCTACCACTAAACCACAGCTCCACTTGCAGCTTTTTGTGTTAACTGGAGGTAAGAATCTCACAGAATTTTCTGCCCAAGCTGGCTTAGAACCGAGATTCTCAGATTTCAGCCTCCTGAGTACCTAGGATTACCAGCACCTGGCTTCTAATTTCTTTTAAGTCTGACCCCAAAGCTCAATTATACTTTGTATAATGTTTAATAAAAGGAGCTCTTGATATTTTCTGGTGACAACTAGCAAATTCTATTATCATCTTGCTGTATGTCAACTTACTATTCCAACAGCAGAAATAAGATAAACATCATTCAAGGTATTTAAAGGCTATGTTGTTAATATTAATACAATGATATTGCCTTTGAATTTTTTAAGAACAGACTTGTGATGAGTGATGGCTAGATTTTTATTTTTTTTAAATTTATTTTAATTTACTTTATTTATTATTATTATTTTATTTATTTTTTTGCTAGTCCTGGGGCTTGAACTCTGGGCCTGGGCACTGTCCTTGAGCTCTTTTGCTCAAGGGTAGTACTCTACCAGTTGAGCCACAGCGTCACTTCTGGCTTTTTCTGTGATTAATTGGAGATAAGAGTCTCGTGGGTTTTCTGCCTTGGGTGGCTTTGAAGCAAAATCCTCAGATTTCAGCCTCCTGAGTAGCTAGAATTACAGGCATGAGCCACTGGCACCTGGCTAATAAATTCTTTTAGTATTTTTTTTTTCTTGTCGGTGGTGGGGCTTGAACTCAGGGCCTGGGCATTGTCCCTGAGCTCTTTTGCTCAAGGCCAATACTCTACCACTTTGAGCCACAGATCCAATTTCTAGATTAAAAAAAAATTATCATATCTGATTTCAGAAACTGATTTTAGTGCTGGGCACTACTGTGTGAAAAGAAGAACTAGAAAATTATAATAATTTTAAATTTAAAAGTAGTCTAAAGCTTGTCAAGGGATCTTATTACAAATTATTTGAAAAGTCTCAGCATAAAACTGATTTCTAGAATCATTCTTCTGAAGCTCATAGTATATAGATGTTTTCTCAGCTCTCAAAAAGAATACTGAGGAAGAAAATAATATGAAGAAAGGGCAATGAGACAGTGAACAGTAGCATTTCACTAAGCTGAATACACTTGCACATGCAATCACATTAACACATATATATTCCCTCACATGCACACAAAACAAAAACATGGCAAGAAAAACAGAACAGCTGCCAAAACCACAATGGCCCAAGTGACATGAAATTTCGAAACTGGATCCAGATTCCTGGATACATGAATGGATGGTGGCCAGAAACCCCCCAAAATAGAGGACATTTCAAAAGACAAACTGAGCCCAGTTGCTGGTTCAGTCTGACCTTAACCTGGGATTCCTGCTTCGTTTGTTGAACATGAGCCTGTAATGCATCTATTTGAGCTGCTATCCGTTCCACGAGGTCCTGGAAGGACCTCTGCAGTTCATTCAGGAGCCTCAGTATTTGTCGATTCTGCTGAGGGGACAAGTCCTGTGCATGCTCAGAGATAAAGAATTGGATATCAAAAGCAAGAGTATCCAACTGAGATTTCTTTTCTTCCACAGACTGCTTCATATTCTGAAACAAATAGGGAAAAAGAGACAAAAACAAAAAGAGAAATAAATCTTCTATTTCTCTATCCATTAACAATTTATTGGTTAGAATCGAGGAGAGGTTAATGTTCTTTCCTTCTTTCCTTCCCCCCCCTTCAATTGTGAGGCTTGAACTCAGGACCTGGGCACTCTCCCTTAGCTTTTTCACTCAAGGCTAGCTCTACCACTTGAACCATAACTCCACTTCCAGCTTTTTTTTTTTAGTAGTTAACTGGAGATAAAAGTCTCATGGAGGGCTGGGAAGGTAGCTCAGTGGTACAGCAATTGCCTTGCATGCATGAGGCCCTGGGTTCGATTCCTCAGCACCACATAAGCAAAAAGAAAAAAGCCAGAAGAGGCGCTGTGGCTCAAGAGGTAGAGTGCTAGCCTTGAGCTGAAGAGCTGAGGGACAGTGCCCAGGCCCAGAGTTCAGGCCCCACGACTGGACCCAAAAAACAAACCAAAAAAAAAAAAAAAAGCCTCATGGACTTTCCTGCCTGGGCTGGCTTTGAACTGTGATCCTCACATTCAGCCTCCTGAGTAGCTAGGATTATAGGTATGAGCCACCAGCACTGGGCCCTTTTTGTTGTTGTTGTTGCATTGCGACCCAGGGTCTTGCACATGTGAGGCAACTGCTATACCACTAAGCTACACTCTCAACTCAAAAAACACACACAAAAAAACAAGTGAAACATCCTTGGTATGAATGGAGTGGGTTACCTCATAGTGTTGGAGAGAGTGATTCAAGCTGATGACATCTGTTTTGTTGTCATATTCTTTGCTGTTTAGAATAAGATTTGCATTGCCAACCCAGGTTCTTAGATCTTGAAGCTTTTCTTCTAGCTGCATATGTTGACTTAACACTGTAGTCTGAAAAATAAACTGCAAGTCAGATTATAAAACTCTGGAGGCCTGCCGAAGCTTTGCGAGCCTTTATGAGTTAAAAGAAGATGCTACCTTTTTGACTTCCATGGCATTCTGGAGGTGGAATAGTCTGGAATTCCAATGGTCACTTACAGAGCTGAGAGACTTTTGAAGACTCTTGGCATCTTTCTCCAGAGCCTTCAACAACTGAGCAGGGACTTCTTGGGGCTGGCTGTTGATAATCTGATCCACACACTCCAATTCCTGACTCACCAAGTTGGACAGATCCTTTAACTCCTTGTCTAACACCTGGGAAAATAAACTGGTGGTAATGCCAAACTAAAGACAAGCAAACTTGCTATCAGGGAATCTGCTATGAACATACATATCTTCACTCACTTCATGTGATAGGATATAGGGCTTAGAAAATGTTTTTATGTACATTCATTCTTTTTTTTTTTTTGGGTCCGGTCGTGGGGCCTGAACTCTGGGCCTGGGCGCTGTCCCTCAGCTCTTCAGCTCAAGGCTAGTGCTCTACCACGTCAGCCACAGCGCCACTTCCGGCTTTTTTCTTTTTGCTTATGTGGTGCTGGGGAATCGAACCCAGGGCCTCGTGCATGCCAGGCAAGTGCTCTACCACTGAGCCACCTCCCCAGCCCCCATTCATTCTTATTATATAACCCAGGTCCAACTCAGAGCCTCCTGCAGCACCCTGTTAGGGGCTGAGATTACAAGATATGCCATTATGCCTGGCTGAGTTTATGTGTGTTTTCCTGATGTCTTACTGGAGTTTGGGAAAAATAATAGAGATGAACTTACATCCAATTTATTCAGTATTTCTTACTAACCAATCACTACCTTGAACTTACCTTGTGCATACAAGGAGATGTAGTCTAGAAGATGTTTTCTGCAAAGGCTAGCTTTGGATATAATCATGATTCTCCAGATCTCAGCTTCCCAAGTACTAGGATTATAGGCATGAGCCATTAATGCCTAGACTCTTTTTTTTTTTTTTTGGGTCCGGGTGGGGCCTGAACTCTGGGCGCTGTCCCTCAGCTCTTCAGCTCAAGGCTAGCACTCTACCACTTGAGCCACAGTGCCACTTCCGGCTTTTTTCTTTTTGCTTATGTGGTGCTGAGGAATCGAACCCAGGGCTTCAGGCGTGCAAGGCAAGCACTCTACCACTGAGCCACCTTCCCAGCCCTTGCCTAGACTCTTTTAAGCCTTGAAATCTTCTGGGAAAATAAAGCTAGCTATCTTGAAGCCATCAAACTCACTGAAGTCTCTGGGAACCTACCTTGGCCCGACACAGCAGATTCTGTAGTTCTGTCAGATTAAGTTCCAAAGGCTGAATCTGTTTAGTCCTCATTTCAATGTCCCGTAACAGAGACAGATAAGATACCAGTTTCTCATCATGTTCTAAACAGAGTTGCCGGTTAAGCACATTCTGTGGAGCAAAAAAAGAAAACCATTCGCTTCTGTAATTTTTCTTTAGATAGGCTTTTTTTTGGGGGTCCAGAGCCACCTTCCCAGCCCCCCCTTTTTTGGGGGGGTCCAGTCGTGGGGCCTGAACTCTGGGCCTGGGCGCTGTCCCTGAGCTCTTTTGCTCAAGGGTAGTACTCTACCAGTTGAGCCACAGTGCCACTTCCGGCTGTTTTTCTTTTTGCTTATGTGGTGCTGGGGAATCGAACCCAGGGCCTCGTGCATGCCAGGCAAGTGCTCTACCACTGAGCCACCTTCCCAGCCCCTAGATAGGCTTTTAAAGCAGGCAAGGTTTCTTGTTGGATAAACAGAAATGAGAAATTTTTCCTAAACTAGGACAGAATACAATAAAACGTTATTAGATCATTTCAATATGACAAGTGATTTTATTTCCTCAGAGAACAGAAGGTTGTAAATATCAATGAATAAATATTACTCTAGGAACATTTCCAAAGGTTACTCTGATTTCAAGTAGCATCATTTCAGAATTTCAAATTAGTTCCAATGTTAGTTTCTAATGTAAACCTCCTAGGCTGGAGATGTACAACAGTGAAAGAGTGCTTGCCTACCAAGCCCAGGGTTCCTTCTCCAGCACCATAAAACAGCAAGGCAAAATAAAACTTGCAAATTCCAGAAAGGCATTCAGATTTCATGCCTAATCTATATTAATGTATTATAGATGATAAAAGTTGTACCTTAGAGTACAACTAAAATGTACACTAAAATGTAATTATGCCTGGTTTTACATATGTGAACTATGTATCCAATTAAGAATTTAAACTATGAATCAGTTATCTCTCTCTCTCTCTTACACACACACACACACACACACACACACGGAAACTTACCTGAGTTGCTCTGAAGGCCTCAGGATTTACTCCTTCACTTCCCTTTCCTCCAGGTACAGCCATGAAGGGAGCTTGTTCATTGCTTGGGCTATCTCTGACTCTTTTCTGTGGTGTCTTCTGATCCATCTTCTTTGTAGCATATGACATCTGGGACACTGTTGTTTCTTCACTGAGCTCAGAAATAGCGGGACTAATGACAGTATCCTGTAGCTCCGCACTCTCTTTCTGCAACCTATCTTTGTGCAATTTTTCTGGGAGAAGGGATACCATAACTATAGGGCTTTCCATTTCTAGAAATCTATCTCCATTTGTTTCTTTGGTTGTTACTACTTTAGATTTGAGCATTCCACAAAGTTCAGGATCACCTTTGCTCTCCTGATGATAGAAGTCTTTTCTGTCTGAGGATTCTAGACAACTGGCCTCTTTTGCATCTACTTTAGAAACTGTAATTTCTTCCAGTTTAAGAGCTCTTGTTGAATTAGAAGGTACTTCTTGGTATGACTTTTCTTTACACTTTTTAGCTATGGAAATTGGATCTTTGGTTTCCTTAGTCTTAATAATAACATAGGAATCTTGATGATCATTGGTTTCTTGTCTGGTGGTTTCTTGGACAGCTCTGTATGTTTTGGAAGTTTGGGATATATCTGTAACTTGAGCTTTTAAAACTGATTTTTGTTTGCATAATACTTCAGGTTTGGGAGTCCCAGAAGAAAATGGCTCACTATGTGTCCCACTAGTGGTTTCTTGAGATAAATTTTCTCCTGGTTTTAAAGTAGAATAGAGGCTTACATTTCTTCCTTCCCCTTGACTGACTTGTGTAGAGCTGAAGAATGTTGGAACATCTTGATTTCTTGCAGAAATTTCTTTAGTTGTCATTTGGCAAGAGTCTTCAGTTTTACAAGTAACAGAAAATTTCATTTCTCTACCAGTTTCTTTCCCTGTTTCACTTCCATTCATTTCTACAGACTGGAAGTCATACACATCACCAATGGTAGTTTTCTGATTTAACTCTGCTTCAGAAAGAACTGCTGGTTTACATGTTTGGGCACTTTCTTTTACAATCATCTCCCTCTTCTCTCTCTTACTCTTCACCCTAGTATTCACTGGCTGCTCACTCAGCAAATTGCCTGATGTTTCATGATTTGATTCTTGTACCTCAGAAGCAATTTCCCTTAGACTTTTTCTTGCTTCTTCAACATCTAGGCCTGAGGTGGACTGCTTGATATGAATAATCATTTCTGTTGGTGACACTACTTTTTCCTGCTCTACATCTGTATTTTTTCCCAAATGATTTTTAGCAAGCTCATCGAGTGTCAAATCAGAAGGTTCTGAGTAAGTATGCATCACTGAAACTTGGTCTGAGGATTTACCTTTAAGATTGCCATGAATAATGATGTTGACTGCTCCTTTAGCACCTCGAATTCTTCCCTCGTCTTGATCTTTACTGTCCACTTCCTTCAATGAACTCTTCCTGCTTCTTTTTGCCATTTCCCCAACTGAATCTCTTACTTTAACCTTTCCTTGTGTAGACTGACTTTCAATTTCTAAGAATCTGTCATGGTCTCCTTTATCACAACTCACTTCAGCAGTCTGATTACACGCAGTTAACATTGCTTTCTTTAGAAATTCATTATTTACCTCACATACTTGAATTTCATCTTGCTTTTCAATATGAGCTCCATCATCATGAGACGTTAAAGCAGCTGCCAATTCAGGGCTGAGAAGTCTTCTCTCAACAGCTTCTTGCATTGTCACTCTTTGATCATTAAATATGTCAATAATTCCTCCATTCAATACCTGATGAGATGCAATAATTCTGGCCATGTCTTCATCCATCAGTTTCTGTTCCAAAGCTGATGCTAATGTAAGTCTTTTGCCTGTGGCTGTATCTATGATTCCACCAGTGTTTGCCTGAGTTTCCAAAATCTTCAGTGTAGATGGAATGTCTACTTTTCCAAGCTGAATTGCTTCAGACAATGTAAGTACCCTGTCGCTCATCCCATCTTTAATGTCTGAGAAGGGAATTACTTCTAGGTATCTCAATCCAGATTCAATATCAATCTTACATTTCTTTACCAAATCTGAGTAGGGAATAATTCTGCAATTTTCAGGATCTATAACCCCATGCATCATTCCTGAAGCTAGTACTGCCTTTTTAGTTAACAGTTCTTCTTTGTTAGGTTCTGCACAGGTCAACTGCTGGCTAGAAATGATATCCACAAGATTCTCATTTAAGGCCTGAATTTCTTGGATTTCTCTTTTCATTTCTGGGGTAACAAGATCTAATTTTATAGCTTCGGGGAGTGAAAGTGTTTCCTTTGTTTCAGGATGAAAAAACTGCTGGAGGTTTAAGTTCTCAACTTTTTTGAGTTGGTTGGCTAGATCTTCATCAATCAAGCCATGTTTAAAGGCATTATCAACAGAAAGTCTCATTCCAGATATATGGTGAATGATACCTCCATCAACTAGCTGTTTAGTCAAGAAATAAATGGCTTCCTCTCTCTCCAAAAGACCTCTGTCAATGGCTTGTACAACTGTTAAAAGGGCTTTATTCTCAGGGTCCACAAGTCCTGTTGTTTCCATTTGTAGACCAATCAATCTCTCTCTAACTGTTTTGTCAGCATCTCTGCCTTTGGAAGCCTTCTCCAGATTTATAAGGTCTGTCTGCTCAGCATTGTCCACCAAACCAAGATTTGAGGCCAAAGTTACTGAAAGTTTTTTGCCTCGTTTCAGGTCAACAATTCCACCAGTTAACACCTGTCCCTCTAAAATTCTGGTGGCTGTTTCCTTGTGAAGAAGTCCAACTGCCACTGCATCATTAACAGAGCATAGTGTGTGAGTACGGGGGTCTAAGACACCACTTATAGCTTTATCTGCATTGAGAACATTATGTAATAATGTCTCGTCCATCAGACCTTCATCAATAACTTCTTCAGTTGTCAAAGACTCAGAGGTCTTAGAGTCAAAGAACCCCCGGAACATGTTCAGTTTTTCCATAAGTTTCACAGCAGTGTGGCTAGGCACAATACCTTGCACTATTGCTTCACTTAGTAAAAGTTTCTGACCTGTTCCTTCATGAAGTATACCACCATCTAGAAGCTGTGCAGACAATACATTTAAGGGAGCTTCTTTAAGCAACTCAGGATGATTGCATGAAAAGGAAGTCTCAATATCATGATCTTCTGTGTCAGTCTTTTGTATTATCACCATATCACCATCTGCAACTCTTTGGCCTTCTTGGCTTTGTTTACAGCCATCCTTAGCTAAAAGCATTTCACTTAACACCTTTTCTTTGTCCAAAGAATGAATATTCACATCACTTTCTGACTTAAATCCTAATTTTAAACCTGACTTCTCTGCCTGAACTTGTGACTTTTTCCTTTGGGATTTAATGAGAGGCCTTTTAGTTTCACTTGGAATATATTCAGTCTTATGAGACTTTGCTTGTTCTTTCTGACTTGTAAAGGAAGTCTTTCTGGGAGCTTGCCATTTTCCCTTTGTTGTTTCAACAGAAAAAACATCTTTGTCAACCACCAACGGCCTACCTTCAGTTTCCTTAGGAGGTATCACCAGGAGTTCTCTGCTGGCATTTTCTCTAGTAGAAGTTTCTGTTTGGTCTTCATTTTTAGTATTTAACAACTGCCTTTGTAACTCTGAGTTGACTTTATTTATGACCTTCAAAGAGTCAACATTTCCAGTAACCACTTTTTGTTCTCCTATAGACAGATCCTTTTCAGGGTTCTCTAAAGAAGAATATTTTATTCCTATAACAGTCTTTTTGCCTTTTGCTTCAGCGCAATCTTCTTGATGGGTATATTCTTTGTTCTGAGAAAAAAACTGGAATCTCACAGTGAGCTTATCATTGAAAGTTTCTGTGATGTTCTCACTAGCTGATTCTTGAAATTTCTTAGGATTGTCTAGTCTATAATGTCCAATTTCAAGCACTTCTGAAGGACTTGCTTGATATTCATCTCTGGATGTAAGGATCTCCATCAGTTCTTGATCTAACAGAAGCACCCTCTGTCCATTGTGCACATTAATATAGCTATGAGTCATCAGTTGAAATAACAACTTATCTCCATGGTTTGATATACCCTCAGTTTGGCCCTTGTTGCACAGAAGTGCTGCTGTTCCAGAAGTAGTACCTGATGTTTTTCTCTCTGAAAAATCTACTAATTGCATGTGGGGCATCACATCAGGGATACAAATTAATTTTAAGCTGTTGGCAAGATCTTTGTCCAAAATACTAGTTTCTATTGCTTTCTTCCAGGAGCAAATCTCTGTGGTTTCTGGTAAAAAAAGAGCTTCAATATGCTCTCGGTTACTAAGGATTTTGCATGCTAGTTCAGTAGACACAATACCTTGTTCTAGAGCATCTGTAATTGCAAGAATCTCTCCAGATTCAGGCCATAGGAACCCCATGAATGACCAGAGGGATTCCAATATCACAAGGGCAATCTTAGCAGTTACTAGGTCATTGCTTACTGCTTCATCTATTGTTATCCTACGCCCTGTGACAGTGTCAATGATGCCTCCAGTCTGAAGCTGCCTTATGAGAATAGCACAGGCCATATCTTGGTCAATCAAATTATGTCTTACAGCCTCTTCTACTGTAAGTCTGTGTCCTGTTCTTGGATCTACAATGCCACCTGCAAAAAGCTGAGCTTCAAGCAGCCGGATAGTGACTTGCCTATCTATTAGCCCTTCTTGAACAGCACGAAAAATGTTAACCTTCTGGTCTGATTTCAAGCTCACCATTCCTCCTGCCAACTGCTTGACAGGCAATAATTTCAATCCAGATTCCTGGTGGACAATACATCTTTGCATCAGATCCAGTAAACCTATTTTCTCAGCTGTGTTGGGGTCTATCAAATTCCTGGATGATCTCAGGTGAGACTCTAATGCTGAATGAAGCCCAGCAGAAATGAGGCCTTGATGAAAAGCTTCCTCCAGGTTAATACAGTTCTCATTGGGGAAAACTTTGAAACCACCAGTTGCCAGGTGAACTTCTAAGACTTTCAGTCCAAATCTCTCACTGATTATTCTCTTTTCAATTGCTTCTACCACAGAAAGGGGACCTTTGTTTGCAGTAAGCCTGCTTACTAAGGACAGGGTATCCTGTAGCTCCCAGAGACGCTGGTACATAGGAGGATTAATGAGGTTTCTGGCAAGGCCCTCCTCCAAAGAGAGTTCTTCACTAGTCTCAGGAGCAATGAGACCAGACATGATAACCTGGGATTCCAGAAGCATAAGGCCTGTATCTTGGTCAATGAGGCCCTTTTGCATGGCTCTGAAGATGGGAAACATCTCCACTGTGCCTAGGTCAATAACCCCAGCAACTGCTCTGAAACCCTAAAAGAAAAAAGGAAAAAGAAAACTAAGTCAGAACCAATGGCAAAGAACAATTATTGAAAGGAATCATTCAACAAACTAATGTATATAAAATTCTGACCACAGAAAAACTCAGCCCTGATAAGTCTCAACATGTAGGAAATATTCTGAAGCAAACCTGGTAGTGTTAATGAAAAAAAAATTGTAAACTGCAGAATATTTAGTAGGGCCCAAAATTCATAGATTATTTGAAGGATGATGGATGGCATTTAGCATATCTGAGTGACAAGCTCTACAAAGTGGCAAGCAGTAAATGTGAAAGGACAGTTATTTCTAAGACTAAATCATTACAAAGGGTTTTAAAAACACCTACCAGTTCGGAGAAAGTAAAAAAAAAAATCAACCTCATATAGCAACTTCTCAGTGTTGAAACCCATGCAGAAGACTCTGGAAGAAGCACGTCTCTGCTGATGGGTACAGCAGGAGTGGTCCACAGCATGAGAGATTTAAACAGCCCAACAGCCACAAAATAGTTATGCATCCTAAGAATAGGCTTGTGTATACACCCAAGCAACTGGGACATTTACAATCATTGTGGCCAATGGCTTTACAACAATGTGGCTTTACAACAATGGATCTAAGTTAAATTTTCCAATCTGAATTATATTTATTCTAGGACTTGGAAATAGCAAGACAAGAAGGAACAAGTTGGGTGCTAGTAGCTCATGTTTGTAATCTTAGCTACTTAGGAATTTGAGATCTGAGGATTATAGTTCAAAGCCAGGCTGAGCAGGCAAATCCATGAGAATCTTTATTTCCAAGTCACCACTAAAGACTGAAGTGGTAGAGCAGTAGCCTTGAGTCGAAAAAGCTCAGGTATAGTGCCCAAAGTCCTGATCAAGCCCAAAGAAAGAAAGAGAGAGAGAGAGAGAGAGAGAGAGAGAGAGAGAGAGAGAGAGAGAGAGGGAGGGAGAGAGGGAGAGAGGGAGGGAGAGAAAGAAAGAAAGAAAGGAGGGAGGAAGAGAAAGAGAGAGAGGAAGAGAGAGAGGGAGAGAAAGGAGAGAGAGGGAGGGAGGGAGGGAGGGAGAGAGGAAGAGAGGGAGGGAGGGAGAAAGAAAGAAAGAAAGAAAGAAAGAAAGAAAGGAAGGAAGGAAGAGAAAGAAAGGAAGGAAGGAAGGAGGAAAGAAAGAGAGAAGAGAGAGAAGAAAGAGAAAGAGACAGAAAGAGGGAGAGAGGGAGGGAAAGAGGAAGGAAGAAAGGAAAAAGAAAGGGGAATACTCTAGGGACCAGACTCTTGCCTCAGGAATCACTGGTAACTTTCCTTCTGATCTAGGCTTGAATGGGTAGAATAGTAACAATGATGATAACAACCACTTACTAGGTTTATTTACCACTGACAATCCTCAAAATGATCCTAATAGCTGTTTTGAACTTTACAATTTTGGGGGAGGGACGGGGTGGGGGAGGATATGAAGGGACAGGAAGGGGAAACAAAGCAGGAGGCTACAATGCTTGATAAGAAATGTGCTCATTATCTTACCCATGTAATTGTAACCCCTCTGTACAGTATTTTCACAAAAAAATACTAATAGATAACTGAAAAAAATTAGCTGTTTTAATCTTAGTTTATAAGTAAGAAAATAAGCCACAGAGAGGGTAGTTAACTTACCCAATGTCAAAATACTAGTGAGTTCCAAAAATAAATCAAGTCTAGATTTTAAATCTTACATTATAAACTGCCTGTTCAATTGACTCCAGTATTATTAAAACAAACATACAAACAAAAAAACAAGCCAAGGTACATTTTACATAAGTTAGGCCCTAAGGTTGCTGAATAAGTCAAACCTCACACATTGCAAAAATCACCTTTGTACATCCTAGAAACAACTTCTAAAGAGTTCTCATTTTGAAGCCTGTTATCACAGAAAGATGTTGTTTAGATTTTAAATTATTTAAGAGCTTAACCAGTTAGAACACTACTACTTTCACAATTTTTCAGCTCTTCTTGTCCATATTCATTATCTTCATTTCCTTCCATCCTCTCTTTGGTCAGTGTTGCTTTCTAGTCCTTATTAAACTCTTTGTAACTTATCCATGGATACCTTTGTTGAAGCAATTGTATCACCTTCTTGTCTTGTAAGCAATGAATTTCATTTCTATGTCAGTGAGAAATAAACCCCATAAAAGCCTACTTTATCCATTCAGTGTAAAAGACAGTGCCTGTAGCACAATGAACATGGGGCGAATGAATGGATAAGTAGAAAGAAAGCCCTTAAATCATTAAGCCAGATTTTTTTAATGTACGCTCAAGATTTTAAACCTGATGACTGTACACTAGAAGAAAGCAAGATAACAAATGAGGGAACAGTAGAACTGGCTCACTTCTTTCACTGAAAGAGCTCAATTAATGGAATAATTCGTAGGCTTTGCTACACTAAATATAATACTATTTGCTATATTCCCCTCATCTTGTTTTCTAACCCAGACTATAGGATTCTAACTCAAACATGTACCAATCTACTATGTCTCTTTTACAGAGAAACTGAAAAAGTTCATGGACTTGAGATATCTGAAAATTCCTTTTAGAAAAATCCATGTAAGGCCTATTTAGCAGCAAACAAAATTTCTTCTATAAGATTCACTGAGCCTCAGAAACACTGACATTGAACACAGATGTGGAGTCTAGCCAAACAGAAAAGACTACACAGATCCTTCCAACATCATCATAACTGGAGGATAGGCAGACAGCACTAAACTGGGAAGTAATCCAAAAAAGAAAATCCATTTCAGCCCTACCAAACATGGACATTGTGACCTAAACAAGCATTAAAAGACAGAGGAAAAAGAAGGAAAACATAAAAGGCTTCTACTTACCAGAGTTGTAGGGCACGCCTCGGGTAGATAAGAGATAGAGCCTTATGGAGCAGCTCAGCCGTATCACACACACAGTGTAAGCTTGGTGTTAGCGTCCAGCATGCGACTGTTTTGTTTTTTGTATTTTGTTTTTGTTTTTTTTTTTTTGGTTTTTTTTTTTTTGCAAAAAAGAACCCCAAACAGGTCGTCCTCTTTTCCCTTTGTGCATTTGTGCTTAAACTCCAAAGGGTTAGTGAAACTTGTAAGCAAGGATGTCAGTTAATCAGAACAATACTTCACATGAAACACACACAGTACAGGGACACATCATGCTCAATGTAGTGGTGCTCAGCAGCTTGTCTTTATTCTCCAGCCCCCGCCCCAATTTTTTTTTTAAACTTTCAAAATGAGAACTGAATGTTCTCAGCAAGCAATTGTTAAAACTTTTCATATACTCCCTTATATGGTGAAGCAACAAGCCATTAGAAGTGGGTTACTTTATATAGATAATGCTACATCAGCATATTCTTTTTGGAATACCCCATCAAATGAGGGCTGGTCTGTCTTTACAACTCTAGCTCCTGGTGCATAAATTTATATCCAAGGGCCAAAAGTCAAGGTTTATTTTGTCTGAGCTTTATTTTAAACATCATTTGAATCTAATTTGATTGCCACATGAACTCAAGTTTTGTTCTTCCCCACAAATTGGCCATTGCTTCACAACATAGGAAATAAGCAGGCAAACACACACATATATATGTATATATCCCATAGACACATGTATATATTATGGTAAGTGTACGCACACATAAATATTCAGGAAGTACTTAGGACAACCAACAACAAACTACAACAACTTTTATATGGTCCAGGAAATAACATGGAGTAGAACTGGTAAAGCTGTCATGTGATGGGATGACCATGAGTAGGGGGAACCAGTGTCTCAGTCAGTGAACTTCATCTACCAGTTTGCTTTGAAATGGCATTCATTTCTCAGTCTTCATTGTAGGGAAGGAAAGGTTCACAGCTTTTCCTTCCCAATATCCATAACTCTTGGTTAACAACTTTGGGGTGAGAAAGCCACAAAGGAGTAATCTTACTGCCCTGTGATCAGATATAGTACAAATTTATGTTCTCCTGGACTGCTTTCAGCAACAAAATGATAAAAGACAGAAAAAAGGTCCAAAGGTTTGTCCTTTGGTGTTTTAACTGACTAATACATCATGGAACCCCAGTTAAGATACACAAGACAAATGGTTGCTAAGGTGAAGTTAAAAATTAAGTCACATGGGTCATGGAAAGCTAGTGATTGTGACTCTCAATCAGCAACATTGTTTTCACACACTCGGAGAAGGTATCCTCCCAACATTGGAAGACAAAAACTAAAAATACCTTTTGTTCTGTCTGCTGAGCCAACTGGCTCTGGAGCTGTTGGAGCTGGTTTGCTGAACCATCACAAAGATCATGGTAAGCCTTGTTCAGGGCATTCAATTGCTCAGAAATCTGCTCCTTCTCTTTTTCTGAGAGTCTAGGAGATGAAGCATTAAAGATGATTTAAAAAATTAATTGTAGCTGGGTGCCAGTGCCTCACACCTGTAATCCTAGCTACTCAGGAGCCTGAGATCTGAGGATCATGGTTCAAAGCCAGCCCAGGCAGGAAAGTCCACAATTGTGATCCTCAGATCTCAGCCTCCTGAGTACCTAGGATTACAGGCTTGAGCCATGGGCACCTGGCAGCTATTCTTATTTTAAAATAAAATGTTTTGAAAAGATTATAACAAAGTCTCATTTATCCATCACCCATCTATTGAGCTTTACCAATTTTAGGGAGAGGTAGAAAGACAACTGGGGTTTAAACTCAGAGCCTTAACTTAAGATATGTATACAGTCCTTTTTGCTTTAGTTATTTTTCAGACAAGATCTTGCCAACATCAACCCATGATTCTCCTACTTATCCAACCCGTAGAGCTGAAATTACAATTGTCAACATCCACATGCATTCATTAACATGGGGGTTCACAGCATCAAACTGCAATCCTCCTGATCTCTACCTCCAGAGTAGCTTGGAATTACAGATATGCACTATCGTGCCTGGCATATTAATTTTTAGTCTTTAAAACAATTTTTAAGACAGGATTTACTACATAGCACAGCTGGCCTTGAATTTGCAACTCTTTCCTTCTGCCATAGCCTCTTACACACTGAGATTACAGGTAGGCATCAGCTTAAATTATAATATTTAACTGTATTTTCTATAGGTCTTTTACTAAGAAATAGATACTATGCATGTAATTGAAGCTCACTATGTATTTTGTATAAAGTCCACTCATTTTTGTATCTTCCCAAAGGTAATCATCTCCTAAATCTGTTGGTTCCTGCAACTTGCCATTTTTTTATTTTTAATTCTGCATTATTACCATGAATGAAGTATATAAGTTCATATTAGATCTGTCCATCAATTCAATGGGATTCCTAAGCTTTTCTTGATTTTTTTTTCTTTTTTTTGAGGGGTTAGTTGTAGGGTTTGAACTTTGGGCCTAGGCGCTGTCTCTGAGCTCTTTTGCTCAAGACTAGCACTCTACCACTTGCAGCTACAGCATCACTTCTGGTTTTCTGGTGGTTAGTTGGAGACAATCTCACTTTCCCTCCTGGGCTGGCTTTAAATCAGAATCCTCAGATCTCACAGGTGTAAGCCACTGTTGCCAGGCTCCTTTCTCTTTTTCTTGGCCAGTTGTGGGACTTGAACTCAGGGATTGAGCTCTGTCCCTAACCTTTTTGTGCTGAAGCCTAGTGCTCTACCACTTGAGCTACAGTGCTACTTCCAGCCTTTTCTGAATAGAGATAAGAGATAAGAGTTAGAGATAAGAGTGTCACTGACTTTTCTGCCTGGGCTGGCTCTGAACCAGGACCCTCAGATCTCAGCCTCCTGAGTAGCTAGGATTACAGATGTGAGCCACTGGTGCTCAACTCCAGCTTCTTTCTTGATTTTAAAATTTTTCTGTTAGTCTACCAGTCCTATTATCTTTAATTTCTTCTCTTTAGGAGTCTAGATCTCATAGTGCATCCTCTTTGCTCTGTCCTCTCACTGATCTGGGTAAGACCCTAACCCCGGATCAATCAAACCACTGAACCTCTTTGCTCCTAGACTTCTTATGCTGCTAAGTATGCCCAACTGGGGGTTGGATCTATAACCTCAACTAGGCCTTGGTATTTCCTAACAATCTTTTTGGGAGTTCCCAGAGAAGCCCCTTTTCTTTCTGCCTCAACACCACTTTAATATTCAGTAAACACTTCTGCCTATTTGAAAGAGAAATTATAGACCATTGGACACCATTCTTCTCATATTCTGGCTTTCCTCCTGACAATATTATATTCATGTGTGTCTTTCCTAATCCCCAACCCCTCATGCAGAAAAAAACAAAACAAAACTATTCTAACTCTTAACGTTACACTTTCTATTAATGAATTTTAACATCCTACACACCGTCTGGAACCTTCTTCATTTTGTCCTTGAGACTCAGTCCATAAACAGTTAAATATTTGGACTAATATAGTTAACATACTCTTAGTATATATTTGGTATTTCTACCCTGATGTCCGATAGGTTGGTTTTTTGTTTTTTTTGTAGGTTGATTTTTTGTTTTATTTGTTTTTTGTTTTGTCAGTCATGGGGCTTGAACTCAGGGCCTGGGCTCTTTCCGCTCAAGGCTAGCACTCTACTACTTTGAGCCAGTGTCATTTCCGGGTTTTTTGAGTGGTTAATTGGAGATAAGTGTCTCATGGGGACTTTTCTGCCCAGTCTAGCTTTGAACTGAGAGCCTCAGAGCTCAGCCTTCTGAGTAGCTAGGATTACCGGCATGAGCCATAAGATTTTCATACTTAGGTCTTCTCCTTCAACCTACACCTTTACCTGTTTTCTATCTTGGTTAATCATACACCCTATCACCTAAGCCAAAAATCCTGAAGTTCTATCTGATGACTATCAGGTATCACCAAACCCATACTATCATCTTTACTATCTCTTAAATCTTTGTCTCCCCATCTCCCACCAACATTTCTTGTCATTATAGAGATAGCCCCTAACTTATCTTCTCACCTCCTTTGAACGCTTTTTCTACATAGTCTAACAACCATAAACAAAACCTAATTAGGTTTAAAATTCCTCATAGCCAACAAGATAAAATGAACATTTTTCAGTATGTTATGAAACTATATAAAACTCTTCATAATCTGGCTCTTCTTGCTCATATAAATTCTCCAGTCTGCATTCTCATAATCAACTTCAAATTTAGCTAGAAACAGTAGGTCTCCCAAATGTCTGACTTTTAATACTTACTTATGACCATGCTTGGCCAAGAAGATTTGTGAAGTTTTAATGGCCTCTGAAACTTGTTCCTTCTTGGTTGTCAGTTCTTCTGCCAGAACCTAGTAATAGAAAAAAGGAAAAGCTGCTAAACCCCAAAATAAAATAGTCAATTTTTTTTCATTTTTGGTGCAGTCCTGGGGCTTGAATTCAGGGTCTGGGTACTGGCCCTGAGCTTTTTTTGCTCAAAGCTAGTTCTCTACCATGTGAGCCACAGCTCCACTTGCAGCATTTTTGGTAGTTTAGTGGAGATGAGAGTCATATCTCAGCTGCTTGAGCAGCTAGGATGACAAGCATAAGCCACTGGCACCCAGCAAGGGTAAAACACTTTTTTTTGGGGGGGTCAGTCATAGGGCTTGAACTCTGGACCTGGGAGCTGTCCCTTAGCAATTCAGCTCAAGGCTAGCACTCTAACACTTGAGCCACAGCACCACTTCCAGTTTTCTGAATGGTTTATTGGAGACAAGAGTTTCTCAAACTTTTCCTGCCCAGGATGGCATTGAACCCCAATCCTCAGATCTCAGCCTCTTGAGTAGTTAGGATTGCAGGTGTGAGCCATTGGCGCCTGGCTCAAACACTTTTTGAAATAATAATTATTTTTTGGTGTCAGTCCAGGGCTTGAACTCAGGGTGTTTTGCTTAAAGGTACCACTCTACAACTTAACCCACATCTCCACTTCTGGGTTTTTGATGTTTAATTGGAGATAAGAGTCTCAAACCATCTTGCCAGGCTGGCTTTGAGCCATGATCTTCAGATCTCAGCCTCCTGAGAAGCAAGGAATATAGGTGTGAGCCACCAATACCAGGCTAAATTAAATTTTTTAAGTCTTAGGAAAAAGTTTTGCGCTGGTAGATAACAACTATAATTCTAGCTACTCAGGAGGCAAATATCTATAGAGGAACAAGGTTCTAAGTCAGCCCAGGCAGAAAAGCCCATGAGATGCTGTCTCCAAAATAACCAACAACAAAAAAAGCAAGGCTGTAGATAGGGCTCAAGTAGTAGAGTGCCACCAAACAAACAAGCAGTGCCATCACAAGGCCCTGTCAAACCCTAGTACCTCCAAAACAAAAACATATACACTTACAACATCCCAGGAAAAAAATTACAGTGCCAATGCACTATTGCTAACTTAAAAGGTGAAAAACAACTTCTTAAGTCCTGGAAGTTAGCTTTTAATTAAGTAAAAAAGTTTATTACTACATAATCCCACATAGGCAGGATACTCACCTGCTGTTCCAAAATAGCTTTTTCAATGTCTGTGGATTCTTTGGGGTGGAATGAAGCAATCTTTCCTTGTGTATTTCTTGCAAGGGTGGACACCCAACCCAAAAGTTCTTTAACTTTCTCCACATGTTCTTGTTTTTCCTCTTCTACCACTTTCTAAAATAAGATATAGAAAATCAGTACCCAAGAAAATGTCTCTTTAAACTGCCATGACTTTAGATTTCAAAACAGGCCTGAAAGTTACTGCCCTACACATATAATACCTTGCACATTTTTATAACTCTTAGATCTACAGATAAAGAGATTGACGACAACAGATTACACAAGGCACATATGTTAGAAAGGAAGTCTTCCTAATTTAAAGAAGCAAAAGTATGGTGGTTAATGTTTTTAACAGTGTTTCTATCAGCTGTTGATTATTTGGAAATTTACTTTACAAAGATATACAGGCCTTTTTTTGGGGGCGGGAGGGACAGGGTGCAAGTCTGAAGCCTAAAGTTGGCTTTTTTGTCATGGCTGGCCATCACTTGAGCCACCCCTCCAGTCTATGCTTTTCAAAGTTACAAAAAGACTAATTTTTTTTTACAACAAATTGAATAAAATCTGAATTGCATAATAAATATTCTTCTTTTTGTTGTTGTTGTTGGTTGTAGGGCCTGAACTCTGGGCCTGGGCACTGTCCCTCAGCTCTTCAGCTCAAGACCATTGAGACAGAGTAACACTTCCAGCCTTTTCTGCTTATGTGGTGCTGAGGAATCAAACCCAGGGCCTCATACATGCAAGGCAAGCACTCTACCACTGAACCACCTTCCCAGCCCTTAACAAATATTTTATTGAAGATCTCTGTTCACATACCTTTATATGATAAAGGCATTTACAGTGGAAGTGATGGATGTCAAATAGTCAATCCTCATTATTCACAGATTATGTATTTATGAATTTGTCTACTTATTAAAATTGTTAACTCTAAAATCAAAGTATTTGTGGTCATTCCCAACAGAGCACAGAATAACAAAAATCTCTGTACATGTTACCATGCGTGGTTTCAGCTGTCATACAATGAACCAGTATATTCTTCAGTCTACTTAGTGCTGGTTTTTTTTTTTTTTTTGTCAGTCATGGACCTGAACTCTGGGCCTGGGTGCTGTCCCTCAGCTCTTCAGTTCAAGGCTAGAGCTCTACCACTTGAGCTGCAGCGCCACTTCTGGCCTTTTCTGCTTATGTGGTGCTGAGGAATCGAACTCAGGGCCTCATGCAAGCAAGGCAAGCATGGTACACCCCTGAGCCACCTTCCCAGCCTCTAAGTGCTGTATTTTTACCATGGTAGTGATTTTGTTGCTGATTTGACTTTTCTTGTGTGTGTCTGTCTGTCTTAGGGTTTGAAGTCAGCCCTAATACTCGTGCTCAAGAGTAACATTTTACTACTTGAGCAAGAGCTCCAATTCTGGCTTTTGGGTGGCTAGCTGGAGCTAAGAATCTCATAGATTTTTCCTTTCTAAGCTGGCTTTGAACTGTGATTTTCAGATCTCAGCCTCTTGAGCTGCTAGAATTACAAACATGAGCTACCAGTACCCAGCTCTGATTTCACTATCTAAAATGGCTCTTAAGCTTTTATAGTCCTAGAGTGCAATCCAGTGTTTACAAGCATAAGAAGGCTGTGATATGCCTTGTGGAGAAAACACTTTTTAATAAGTCTGAACAGACCTGAGTTACACTGGCCATGAATTCAATTTTGGTGAACCAATAATATATAGTAAACAAAGTATACGCAAACAAAAATACACATAAAACAAGGTTATATACTAATGTATTGGAGAACTATGACCAGAGACTTATAGGAAGTTAACCTTATATTTCCTTATAGGAGCACTAATTCAGTATTTGCTACATAGGAAGTTTCTAGATCATTAAAATGGAGGGCTGTGCAGGGAACTTTAATTTTGATAGATGAGGCATGAGAACTGTGTCTGTGTGTGTTTTGCTGGCCTTATACATACTAGCCACATATTCTACCACTGGAACTAGACCTCAATCTGAGGATTTTTAACTGTACTTTCAAGATGATTTAGACCCACCTCCTCTTCCTCTAACCGCCGGAGTGCATCACTGATGTATTTCACATGCTGAGTTGTTAAGGTCACCAATGCTGTATAACGCGTTCTCAAGTCCATGAACTATAGTTCAAAAGAACAATTTATATCAATTTTCTGCCAGAAAAGTAAATTTCAATAGTGGAAAATAAGAACATTTTTATGAAGTCACATATTCAACAAAAAGATAAGTCCTAAATCAAACTTACAAGTTTACACTTTTTTTTAAAGAGAAGACAACGGCACTCTCTTACCTTTTCCATTCTCTTACCTCTTGTGTGATGGCATCTGAAGAGGAAAGCATGCGACGGCGCTTACTAGGGGATTTCTGCTGTGATTCCACAAAGGCCCTGTATGTCATTAGTTGCAATTCATAGTCCTAAGAAAGGAAGAGATTTCTTTGCTTTTACGTAGGGTTTTATAGCTCGTAGACAACACACAATAGAATCACACCATTTTATTGCTAAAATGTAATTTGGTGTTTACTCAGTTTAGAGGTTAGCTGAGCTTCCTATAAAGGACCAGGAAGAAAATACTGGGCAACTATCAGAGCTTCTATCATTGTAAGTGAATCAGCCAAATCAATATGTAAATGAAAGCATGACTGTATTACAATAAAATTTTATTTAGAGACACTGAACATTGAAGTTCATATCCTTTAAAAATATCATTATTTATTTTTCTTCTTTTGATTTTTTTTCAACCATTCTCACAGGCCATACTTAGTTTACAATTTGTGACTTGCTAACCAATTTTTTTCATTCTATTAATGAGGAGGGGAAGTGAATTTTCCTGATTAACTCAGAAGGCAAACTATATTAGACTCTTCTAATCCCTACCAATAGTTTTCTCATTTTACTATGCTATTCTATGTTCCCTCTGCAACCCTGACAAAGCTGCCCTAGTCTAGGTTCTCATTCACAAGGATGGGATCATTGCTTCATTTACTCTCATTGCTTTTAGTCTTTAAATAAACCTCTAGTTTATTCTTTATCCTGTCATCTGAGTAGCTTTAAAACATGCAGATGACACATTGTTCCTCTAATTAAAGATTTCTATGAAGAGAAGTAGAGTTCCTCAAAAAGCAACATGCATGCAAATCATCTGCGAACCTTACTAAAATACAGAATCTGATTCAATAAATTTGAGAGTCTGCATTTCTGATAATTTCTCAGGTGATGCTAACGCCACTGGCTCAAATACACCACACATCATATTGAAGAGAAAAAGAGCCAAAGAGCCGAAGTTGCTGAATAGGGTATTTCATAGGTGAGTTACAACCTCCCTGCTCTTTCCCACAGACACCACCTCCTCCTTTTCCCTCCCTTCCAGATCCTTTAAGCTTCTTTTGGGATATGAGACAGTTACCTTCACAATAGTAGAATATTGCTGAGAAAATTTCTGACACTGGTCCAGCTTTGTCTGGTTTCTCTCAATTTCAGCAAATAGATCCTAAGAACCAAAACATCACATTATGATCCTGATTATCATCACTGAAAAGTAAAGGATTTTCTGTGTTTTAAGGCAGCAGTTCTCAAACATCAGTGGTATCAGAATTACCAGAAAAGCTGGTTAAAACAGACTGCACTAGAGATTCTAATTCAGCAGGTCTTGAGTTAGGCCCAAGAACTTGAACTTCTAGCATCTTCTCAAGTGATGCTGATCCTGCTCTCTGGGGATCAAACTTTGAGAAACATTTTACTTAATATTTCATGTATCACTTCATATAATCCTAACAAGGATTATAAGGCAGGTTAGATGAATAATAAGCCATGTCTGATATAGATAAGGAAATACAATATTGGATAATCAAAGTTTTAGAGCTAGTAGTAGATATGTTAGCTAAGACTAGAATCCAGGCATTATAAACTCCAGACCTCAAATTCTTAACCACAATGCCTAAGAAAACAAATCAAGATGCTTTAAATGAAAGAATTTTCATCCGCTCACAGTTTTCCCTAGATTTTCAAAACTCCAGGGCAATCCTAGTAAAATAACATGTGACATTACCAAATAGAGATACATAACCTGTCTGTTTAATGAATTCAATATGTAGTCATATAAATTCAGAACTGAAAGGGCCCAAAAGTTCCCTTTAGCTTAAATGCTAAGCAGTATCCTGAGTCCATCTGTTTGAAACCTTCTAAGAACAAGGGAGATGTGTTGTTCTTTGGGGAAACCTTCATTTGTTAGAACATCCTCCTCTCCTTTGATGAACTAACTTTTACCACCTGCTACAACCACACCTACCGTCTGCTGGCTGAGCTGCTCTGACAGTACTCTGCTATCCTCTGCCTGGCCAGGTTTCATCATTTCCTGCTGAGCAGTGGTCTCCTCAATCCACTTGATGAGAGTTCCGTGACAGGCTCGGTAATCTCCCAGAACTTCCTGGATGTTTTCAAGCTCAGATTGGCTAGAGGAGCAAAGGGAAATTGATATTACACATCCTAATACAGATACAAAAAAATAAATGAAGCAATTCCCACTACATCCAGGTCGCTAGCTGGGCTTGACCACCAGGGATGCAACTTTACTTACGAGAATAAGAATTACAAGGCTACACAACTTCTATACATGTATCCAGTACCCTCAAAGTAAGTAGAAACTAGTACCATACAGCCCTGAAAATTCCCATATGGACTATCATCCTATGATAATCCTTGTCAAGTTTTATACCTGGATAATCAAAAAGGCACTACTGGATGAACACTTATATTCTGATGACAGTGTCCTGTCAGAATACCATGTTTATGATTTAGGAATTAGTATAAATGTCTTAGGGCAGAAAATGGGAAAAAGTGAAAAATAATAATTACTACTCACTTCTGTTAGTCTAGTCAGCCTTGGGATAGATAGTAATTCAAGTACAGACAATCAATCCAAATTTATATGAATTGTATACTCTTGGCCCTGTATACTCCCTACCTATCTTAGCCCTAGAATGGTGCCATTTTCTCTACCATAATATACCTATCATCAGAAACAGGACCTCAAGTAACAAAAAACACTGCATTATTTAATGTGATAGAATTAAGAAATTCTGCAAATTGCAGCTGCATTATGAAAAATGGTTCATATCTGGATTCAAAGCCAGAGTAAGATCCAGAACCCAGGTTGTCCTGTAAGCAAATACCTTTCAAGTCTTAATTATAGACAGCCACTGTGATATATGATTTAACTAGATAAGACTAGGGCACAGGAAAAGCATTGCCAATAGTACTTTTTCTGCTAATCTAAAAGCAACACTGGCTGGGTGTCAGTAGCTTGTATCAATAACCTTACTTATGCAGAAGGCTGAGATCTGAGGATTGTGGTTTGAAGCCAGCCTGGGCAGGAATGTCCAGGAGACTCTATTCTCCAGTTAACCACCAGGAAAGCAGGAAGTAGAGCCGTGGCTCAAGTGGTAGAGTGCCAGTCTTGAGTAAAAAAATCTAAAGGACAGTGTCCACCCTCTGAGTGAAAGCCCTAGTACTAGCACCAAAAAAAAAAAAAAAAAAGCTGGAGCTGGGGATGTAGCCCAGTGGTAGAGTATATGTAAGTACTCAGATCAATCCTCAGGTTCAAAGAATTAGGTTTGCCTTGGATGGTCCCAATTTTCTGTCATTCCTTGTTCAGAATTCATACTAGAGTTTAAATTTCAATACCTATAAATTCTTGCCTTAAAACATAAATGCACAGATAGAACTTTAAACTCTAGTTTTGCTTAAGCCTTAGAACCTAAACCTAACAGGAGAAAAGGTGGGATGTAATGGATGCTGGTAGTTCACACTTGTAATCCTATTTTCTTGAAGGCTGAGAATCAGACAGTAAGGGCTCCAAGTCAGCCCAGGCAGATACATTTTTGAGACACATTTTCAACCCATAGCTGGGTATATCCCAAGTTATGTGTTAGCTGAGACTAGGAATAATCAGTGTGGGCCAGGCTAGGCAGAAAGATCCACAAGAGTCTTGTTTCATGGAGGGAAGATGGACACAATGGTATGGGCTTGTTATCTCATTGGTGATGGGAAGCCTAAAATAGGTGAATTGCAACGCAGTTCCAATAATTATTTTATTCTAAAAAACCACAGCTGGAGATAGGGCCCAGAGGTTATAGAGAAAGCCTAGCAAGTACTAAGCCCTGAGTTTAAACTCCTAGTACTACCAAAAAAGAATAACTCACCGAGTTTCTAGCTGGGCAATAACACGATGCCAACGATCTTGCAGCTGGGCACCTTTTTCCTGACAGCGCTCTAAATCCAGGTTTCGCTCTGGTGTGAGGTAAGTCATCTGCTCTGCCACTGCCTTGGCTTTGGTAATTTCCCCATCCAGGACAGAGAACACTGAATTCTTCTCTTTCACATCACTAAGCCAATGCTAAGAAATATAAGCATCATATCAGTTTGAATGATTTCCATGGTAAAAAGGAGTTAGTCTAAGGAGATAAGGACATTATCTAAGGTAGAGTTACATTATATCTGAGACTCAGAATTAGGCTCTAGAAATATCTCTACTCATCATGGTCTCTGCTTTCCTGATGCACACTAGGAAGCCAAGGGCAGGCACACCATATAGAAAAACGTGCAAAGAACTTGTGTTTGAAACCTGGTTTTACCATACATAACCTATGAAACTAAACTAAGTCACTTATCTAGTCTGAGTCTTGTTTTTCTCATTTTATAAGACAAAAATCTTTTCCCTGTTCACCCCAAAACTAACATCTAAGTGCTTTATAAACTTACATTATAGCCCTTCATTGTAGTCAATTAAATTATTATTTGATTGGTGACAAAAGGGAAGAATTAAGTGGAAACAGCCATTTCTATTTTTAGCTAGACATATTTCTCAGTCCTTTCTTCTTTGACTACATATTAGAATATATCAAATATGATAATTTGCCCAGCTCAACCAAAATTACATTTCTTTGCTCTAAAGCAATGGACACAGTAAATCAATTTGCTAAGAAAGCAGAGTACAGCAACCAACCTGCAATGTGGACCGGTGGGACTCCAGAGCTGAGAGATCTGCTGGTACTGCTTCTTCTTGACTCAGCTTGATTTCATAGCCTTTGACCAAGAGTTCAGCATCTTGTATGCTACGTACTATAATATCAATTGTCTTTAACCTGTAATGATAGAATCATCATTTTTCATTAATACACAAATTTAAAGATATAGGTTACATACCTTGAGTATTATATACAAGTTTATAAAATTTAAGTGCCCTAACCAATTTTACCATTATTAGATGACAAGGCTTTGGTATAAACAAGAAAGTAGGGTATATATGCTGCTAAGTTATGCCAGTTCAGAGTGAAGTTCTAAGTGACACTAGGATATGCACATATATGACAGACTTGTAGTATGAAGATATGAGACCAGAAATTCACTTGACATCCAAGTATCTAAGATCTATAATTCCTCAAGGTCATGAGTGGAGATAGGTGGGTATGAGGGACTCTGAAACACTAATATTTAATTCAGATAAAGTTTTTGAAACCTTTTTAGTCTCACTCCCTTTCTTAATGTCTTTGTTATTTTCAGAGGTATCTATTCAACAGAAATGAGGTAAAATAGTCCTAACACTGAAAATTTACTCCTAATCAGTATCACTGACATTTGTTCCTTATAGTCCAAATAAACACATTCCATGTTGTCAGGAACTAATGCCAAAATGTCTTACCATAGGTATATGCTCTTCTAGATCTGTGATCTTTCGAGAATATTCATGAAGATACTCTAGGGCATTCCACTTCTTATTCCATTAGAAAACATTAACCCCTGAGCCCCCAAATCTTATCTCACTCACTTATTCAAATAGACAGTAGAGAGACCATAGACATGATCCATCTTCTCCACCAGCAGATTCAGCTCTGAGCGTAGAGTTGGAATGCTTGAACCAGATGGAGATTGATGGAGAAAGCTGTTGCATTTCATGGAGACAGCATCTAGCTCAGACTTGAGTTGCTGCAAATCTTCCTGGGTGTGCTGTCAGGAACATAATGCACAACAAAGATTCAAACAAAATTGAACAAAGTTGTATGTGTGTGGGGGGATCCTTATCTGAATAGTAAAATATTAGAAATCACTGAAATGCACACAGAATGGGTAAATAATCAAACTACTGCTTTTAGATTTTAATAAAAGATAAGGATAAGGCAAGTGGAGCATTTCTAAAATGGAACAGAAAAGGATGACTGACCAAGAAGTACTAGTTGAGGTGGAATGTTAAATTGCAACCCCTCTGTAGTATATTTTGAAGTTCAATATTTAAAAATACAATGAAATAAAATGTAAATTAACAGAAATAAATGAGACTAACAATATTTAAGATAAATAACAGTTATACTGAGAGGAAAAGGGAGCAAGAACACATATAAATATTCCTGAATATAATATCTGGACTACAGATGCATCTTTAGCTATAGGTAAAAAGAATTATAAGTAAGCATTATTCATACTGAGTAGACTATTTATAAAGTAGCATGAGTTAGCAATCCTCAAATTACTATATGTAAATATCAATACTGAACAATAAGTAAATATAAGTAACATAAGATAGATTTTTCAATCTTAGGGAAGGGAGTTACCAATATAGAAAAATACTAAAAAAAATTGGTAAGGAACTATATGAATACAGATATAAGTTTATGATTGTATGTGTGTATGCGTGCAAAAGAAAGATAGGTAGAAATGGGAAAAGGGAAGGAGAAGGAAAGAGAGAAGAAGAAAACACTGATCTATGTGATATGTTTACATGTGTATCCATATATCTACACACATGCGTATATGACATACAAGCTTGCATATGAGTTCTGTCTTTTGAGCATGCCTACAATGACACAACAGGAGGATATTTGGCATCCAAGTTGGGTTTCTAAATAATATTCGCTACCCAAGAGAAGCAGAAATAGCTAACTGCTGGGATGGGGCTGGCAAAGGCACAACAATCTGGACCATCCTGTATACTCAAAAAGAAATAAGTGCTCACCAAGTACGACAATGCATGTCTATAATCCCCATACTCAGGGGGCAGAAGCAGAAGGACAGAGAGTTCAAGGCCAGCCTGGATACACAGCAAGCTCAAGTCAACTGGAGCTACATATTGAGCCTCAGTCAGAAAAAGCCAAGGGCTAAAGATAAAGCTCAGTGGTATAGCACTTGCTTAACACGCACAAGGACCTGGGTTCAATCTCCAGCATAGTGATAAGGGTTCTCAATGTTAAAAAGCCACAGAAGCCAGGTGCTGGTAGCTCATGGTTGTAACCATAGCTACTCAGGAGGATATGATCTGAGGATTGCTCTTTGAAGATGGCCCAGGCAAGAAGTCCATGAAACTCATCTCCAATTAACCAACAAAAAACTGTTAGCAGGGGCTGGGAAATTGGCTTAGTGGCAGAGTGCTTGCCTAGCATGCATGAAGCCCTGGGTTTGATTCTTCAGTACTACATAAACAGAAAAGGCTGGAAGTGGGCTGGGAAGGTGGCTCAGTGGTAGAGTGCTTGCCTTGCAAGCCTGAGGCCCTGGGTTCAATTCCTCAGCACCACATAAGCAAAAAGAAAAAAG